TTAATTATTAGGCCACAATCAGAGAAGTCTGTTCATATACTACTAAATGTGAATTTAAGTTAATGAACTATCTTTTCCAGGGTCTTTAATCTGAGGCCAATTTTTTTTTTTTTTTTTTAATATTAGACACTATGGGGCCGAGACGTTTGGAGGAAAAGACAAAAGACATAAAATTGCCCAAAGCTCAGTTCAAGATCAGTGATGCTGGGTAGCACCTTAGCACATAAGTGAAGATTTTTCCTTTTTTTGTAATCCCAGAAAGTGTTAAGCATAAAATGATAGTTGTATAATTTTTCTCCTGTTTTCTTTCTAGAAAACTATCCAGAATGCAATATAAATCACAAAACTGAACACATCAGAAATAAACTAGATTAGTAATGAAAAATGTTCAGGCTCACGGTATCGTGCCAGCATAGAAGTTAGAGTTTCCAAATACCCTTGTCCCTTTAGTTATGAAATCTTGGGTGAGAGTAAGAAATGGCACGCTTGATCAAAGTAAAACTCTGAGAGTAGGATGTTTGGCGCAGCAGTTAAGACACCAATTGGCCTGTACATCTCCCGTATCAGAATGCTTGGTTTGAGTCCTGTCTCTTATCCCAGTTCATAACTGCTAATGCGTACTCTGGGGAGGTACCAAGTAGTTGGGTCACTACTACTAATGTATACCACGAGGGCTGATCTCACAGTCTATCCCCCACTGATGCGGGCATTAGTGAGGGGACACACTCTCTCATTCCCCCTTGTAAACAATAGATAGATAGATGGTAGATAACAGATAGATAGATAGATAGATTCTTTTTTAAACAAAAGTAAAACAGCTTTAGAAATGATTAGCTTAATCGCTTCTCGGCCTTTTGGCTAAGATCACGCGTAGAAATGATTAGCTTGAACCTTCTCCAATGGACTGAATTCTGAGTGTAACATTTTCTCTTTACTTTTACCAATAAGTGTGTACAGTGTTTTTGCTAAATAAAAGTAAGATTGGATTATTTTCAATTCTCTTCGGTATTAAACAGAACCAAGAATCTGCTTCACTTTTCATGTTTTCAACTTTACTTTTTATGGTTTCACCAAAACCATAACAGCTACAGAAATTGTCCAAAATCCCCCAGAGGAAAGCACTAAAAGTAGACCCTAGACCTCAACTTGGTGACCTACAAAATACAACCTTAATAGATTTGCAAAATTTTCTATAGAAAAGTATGTAATAAGCGCTTATAACTCGGCTCATATAAATACATTGCAAATATGAATCCGGTTTCTTAGAAAACAGCAGTTCCTAGAAATGAATACCAAAATTTAACTTGAGTTTCATTTGTTTAACCAAAGTTTCTTTGCCATGAAATGATCTATAGAAAATGAAATTGCTGGGGGATGATTTTGAGAGGATGATGACAGTAGCTATAGAATTGATCAGCTCATCATCCTAAGAACAAAGCAAGCAGAATGGTAAGCAAGCAAACAAATCAAAGACACACAGAAAATCTAACACAAAAACATAAACCAAGAAATTCCTTCTTGAAGTTCAGAAGGAACAAAAGCTGCCCACAAGTAAATTGATGCTTAACCCGTCCTAGGGGAAGGAGGTGAGAACATCTAACACCTGTGGGAGCTAGAAAGTCCCCCAGACAGCCAAAAGTTACTTAGTACAAATTGCACTAGACCAATTTGAAATCAACAGCTGAGACTGAACAGGTTTTCAATTGCCAATTAAGTAAAAGCCCCCAAAGAAAGAGTAAAGAGCATAGAACTATGACCTGTGGACTCTTGAAAGTAACCACCTAAAACCCCTGCACAGCACAAGGCCCGTGGGGAATAAAATACCAAAGAAAATAGTCTTCAAGTTAAACAAGAATAACCTCCAGATCAATGTAAATTCCATGAAGCTGGAAACGTTCTCCTTATTCACTTTCAAATCTGGTAAAAGTAATGGCATACTAACATGAACAAAATTGAATATTGTAGTTTAACCCACATAGAACTGCCAAGAAAGAGCCAAGAAAGAGAGTGAGGGGCATGGAAAGGAGAGAGAGAGAGAGAAAGAGAAAGAGAGACAGAGACAGAGAGAATATGAACACTTACAGAATGGGATAAGAATATTCAGAAAAGAAGCATGCTAGAAAGACCTACAGAAAAAAAAAAAAAACAATAACCTAGACTGGGCTTAGGTAATGAAATATTGGAGCCAGCATTGCAGTGCAAAAAGCTAAGCTCCTGACTGCAATGCCAACATCTCAAATAGGCCCCATTTAGCACCACATTGCTCTGCTTCTGATTCATCTCCCTAATACGCTTGGCAATCAACAGAAAATAGCACAAGTTATTTGGGTCCCTGCATGCATTTAGCAGACCCAGATGAAGCCCCTGGCTCCTGGCACTAGCCTGGAAGTTGTGACCATTTAGGGAATGAACTAGGAGATGGAAGATTTCTGTCTCTCCTTCTCTGTGTAATTGTGCCTTTTCAATTATTTAATTATGTTCTTCAAATAAATTTTAAAACTATTTTTTAGGTTTATTTTTATTTTCCTTAGAAAGTCAGATTTACAGAGAGAAGGAGAGACAAAGATCTTCCATTGTTTGGTTCACTCCCCAAGTGGCCACAATGGTCAGAGCTGAGCCTAGCTGAAGCCAGGAGTCCCCTTCTTCCGGATGTCCCCCGCAGGTGCAGGGTTCATGGGGAAGCCGGATGAAGTTTCTGGCTCCTGGTTTCAGCCTAGCCCCACACCCTTGGTCATTTCAGTCAACTGAGGAGCGACGCAGCAGAGGAGATTCTCTATCACTCTTTCGAATAAATATTTTACAAAATAAAAGAAACTCAGGAAAGAACTCTCCAATTTAAAAAACGATAAAATAGCAAAAAAAAAAAAAAAGTGACACACGTATGAACTGAGCAAAATCCTTCACACAAATTAAGAGGAGTCCCCAAAAAAGAAAGGACAAGTATAGATGACACTCTCAATAATGTTAAGAGCACCATTTTTGAAACATCCGAATGCTTGAAGCTATATACTGAAAGGGCACACACACCACGCACTGGAGGAAACACCGAATAACAAACACAGACACATATTTTGGTAAGCTACTTGTATTTCAAGAAAAAAAAAATTCTTCAGAGACAGAAGAAAAATGCCAAATTGAAGATAGATAGATAGGAATGATATTAAGGTTTAACGAAGCAAATTGTCCAAGGAGGATGGGGCAGAGAGGGTATGGACAGAGAACGACAATCGGAGGGGAAAGCACCGCACTGCCTGCCTGTCCGACTGGGCTCGGCGGCAGCATCTGTCTTCATGCTACAGGACGGCTCAGTCAGGCAGAGAGCCTGGGCAGCTTCATGTACATCCTGCCCAGAACAAAAGGGTACACATAGATGCTAGGTAAAATTGTCAGAATTTTCCAATATAAGCAGTGTATACTATTTCTAGTCTAGATTATACCAAAAAAAAAAAAAAAAAGTTCAGAATAACACAAAGCAAGTACATGTACAATAGGGAATTTTTTTTTAAAGCAAGCAGATTGAGGATAGTAGACTTTTTGCTTTGCTTGTTATTTTCTTTGTTTCTAAGATTTATTTTAGTTCTATTGGAAAGCCAGAGATACAGAGAAAGAGAAACAAAGATCTTGCATCTACTGGTTCACTCCCCAAAATGGCCGCAATGACCAGAGCTGATCTGAAGCCAGAAAGCAGAAGCTTCCGCTGGGTCTCCCACGCGGGTGCAGGGTCCCAAGGCTTTGGGTCAATCTCAACTGCTCTCCCAGGTCAAAGGGAGGGAGCTGGATGGGAAGCGGGGCTGCCTGACCTGGCCAGCAACGGCCACTTGGGATGTTAGCGCCTAAGGCTATCTTTAGTGTTTCACCGCGGGAAATAGCCCCGTTTTTTTTTTTCTTTTGCTGCTTCTTCTACTTCTTTGTTTTTTCTTTTGCTTTGTAAATGTTGTTCTTTGTTATTATTACTTTCTACTTTTCATGTATTAATATCGTTACCTAATGGACCATTAAATCTGTGAGGAAAAAACAGATTGTATTTTAATAAATGGGGTAACAATCCATACAGGGAGGTTGGTTTTTTTGTTTGTTTTGTTTTGCTTTGCTTTTTTCTCTTTTAGCCACTTTCACTCATGGCCGGAGCCGCGTTTTCCAAATAGTTCGGTAGCACCTCGGGCAGCTAAAGTGAGAGCGGGTTTTTTCTTTTCTTTTTTTTTTTTTTTTTTTTTCCCCGACGAGGAAAAAAAAAAAAAAAGAGTCCTGCGTAGGCTTTAGACAGTAGGAAAAGCGGAATTTCATGAAGCGAACGTAAGCGTTTAAGGCAGTAACCTCCAATAGTGCGTATGGATGTGCAAAAAGTCTAGAATCATCTCAAACGCATGTGTCGTAGAAAATAAAGTTGGCGTAAAGCAAGGATTGTGCTTCTGCGTTCTATAACTGCACCGCGCATCGGCACCACTACGCACAGGAGATGGGAGCAAATGTGCAGTCAAGAGACTAGCCGGTTTCATAAACTATTAAAACAAAGGTTCACTACCGGATGTTTGCTTGTTTGTTTAACTTACGTAAAGACACATTTTTTTTTTCTTTTTTTAAATGTAGAGCTCTGTGACTTTGAAGAAATGCAGCACCGTCAAGTTTCGGAGCCGTCTCATCCTCTACTTGAAGAAAGTTTCTTCTTTTCTTTCCATACCCCCTACATGGATTCCTCGCCGCCGCACCAGCCGCTACCGCCCGAAACCCCCGGCTTCCGGGAGCAAGGAAGGGGCGACGGAGGGGGCGCAGCGCCCGCGGCGATGACTTGGAGCGGCGAGAGCGCCCCGCCCTCCCCCCGGCCCTCCCTCGCTCGTGCCCCGAGCCCCGAGCCGCACAGTGCCGCTCTGCTCCGCTCCACAGCGCACGACGCAGTTGAGCTCCGCTCCGCGCAGCTCCTCGCCGCACCTCGCCGCACCGCACCGCACCGGCGCCGCCGCACCGCAACCAGTCTCGTCGCCCGCGGTCCACTCAAGCTCAGTATGTCACGACCTCTGTTCGTTCGTGCCCTGCATCCGTTCAACTACCTGGGCATTCCTGCCCCGGCGCGCATCACGAAATTCAACGCGCCCGTCCATATCGATGTGGGCGGCCACATGTACACCAGCTGCCTGGCTACGCTCACTAGATATCCCGACTCAAGAATCGGAAGACTTTTCGCAGGTATGGAGCCCATTGTCCTGGATTCTCTGAAGCAGCATTATTTCATCGATAGAGATGGGGCAATGTTCCGCTACATCCTGAATTTCCTGCGCACCTCCAAACTACTCGTTCCGGATGATTTCAAGGACTATAGTTTGCTGTATGAAGAGGTGAAGTATTTCCAGCTTCAGCCAATGTTAGTGGAGATGGAAAGATGGAAGCAGGATAGAGAAAATGGTCGCTATTCACGGCCCTGTGAGTGTCTCGTGGTGCGTGTGGTCCCTGACCTCGGGGAAAGAATCATGCTCAGCGGCGCAAAGTCCTTGATCGAAGAGGTGTTCCCGGAGATTCGCGAAGTGCTGTGCAACACCGTGAGTGCATGCTGGAATTACAACTTCACCCACGTTATCAGGTTCCCGCTGAACGGCTACTGTCACCTCAACTCCGTTCAGGTCCTCGAGAGACTGCAACAAAGAGGATTCGCGATCGTGGGATCCTGTGGAGGAGGAGTGGATTCCTACCAGTTCAGCGAGTATGTCCTTGGGCGTTAAGTGAAGAAAACCCCGCGCACCCTGTATCAGCCGGATAAAGTAAGAGCCCTTGTGCAAAAACATCTTTTTCTATTTCTTATTTCTTCTACACGCAATAAAGTAGGCGAGTAAAAAGGGACCGGTTTTATGAAGTTGGTACGGTGAAGTAAGTCCTAGGCGTAAACTTAGATAAAATACGGACAGATTTAAATGCAATAGAGACCACACCTGTATTCATACAGGAGTAATTCGAAAAGGGATACCCTCAAAAGTGTAATATGTATAACATATATATACACACACCTGTATATATATGATATAAATTAAATATATGTGGAAAGAGAAAGCGCAAGGTAACGGCTGTAGCTGAGGTGAGGACGAAGTGGCCTGGGCCTCCTAAAGCCTCTGACCAATAAACAAGCCCTTGGCCGGGAGGTCATGGTCTCCTTACAATTTCCATTGCCAACAGCCATCCATTTTTTCTTTTTCCTGTTATTTTTTTTGTTTGCTTGGTTGTTTGGTTGGTGTTTTTTTGTTTGTTTGTTTTTAAGACACCTTAAGTCCAGTTTCTTTGCATTTAGAGGTTTTATGTTTCTCTTTAGACAGGCACCAGGCAGAACTTCTGGAAAACTCTAACCAGCACATTGCATTTAAAAGACCTTTAGGTGTGAAATCTTACATGTAGTTTGTACAAAAGTCACATTGCTTTTGTTGGCTTGACAGATGCGAACTTTACTTTGTTTTCAAGCTGTTGAGTTTTGCAAAGGGACCAGAATTATTGTGTGTTAATGTTGTTCCTATATTACTAGTCATTTTCCAACAAATGTTTAACTTTTGCAATATATTAAGTATGAAAAAAAGAAGCTGATGAAGAAAGCTTTTCTGTACTGCCTCTGGTAGCAAAACCTGCCAGTCACCCTTGACACTTCAGAATTACTGCTTTATTCTTCATTCTTATAGCAGTTTCTAACCAGTATATCTTATAAATGGGGATCACATATAATTTAGCATTTTGTGTCTGATTTCCTTTACTAAGAACAATGCATTAGAGAGATGTCCAAATAATTACCTGTGTAATTTAAAATGTCTGTAAAAGGTGTATACTGAAAACAGCAATAGTTGAAGAAAGCGTTGAGTCAATACTGGATAAGATGTCCATTTCCCTAAGTTTCTGTTACGAGTTCAGTATAGTCAATCAAAACACCAGTAAGGTTTTATAGTTGTCATCAAGATGATAAAACCAGTTTACTTGAATAATTCTGATTTAGGCCAAGATGAAGTAACATCAACTGAGTTTACCTGTCTGCACCAAACAGCTAAAACTAAAACAATGGTCAAATTATACGAAACAATTATTTCTAAGGTTTGGGGTATTAATGCACAAAAGAACAATCTCTCAGAGAAGGACAGTGTGAGATGACTCTCCTATTTCCCTGGACAAGAGTAGTTTGCTGAGCTATACAGCAAAGAAGGAAAACTCCATAAAATCTTAATTATGTAGGTATATAACTTGTAAAATGAAACACAGGAAAAGCTAAAAAATGAACAGAAGTCACTTTGAGAAGACTATTGTGGTGGCATAGTGAGTTGAGCCACTGACTCATGTGAGCCAGCATCCCATGTGGGCATGGATTCAAATCCCAGGTGCACCACTTCAGATGCAGCTCCCTACTAGTGGCCTGGGAGGGCAGTGGAAGATGGCCCAGGTGTTTGGAACCCTGTACCCATATGGGAGACCCAGAAGAGGAGCCTGCCTCTGGCTTCCTTCTACCCCAGCTGTGGCAACCATTTGGAAACTGAACAAACAGATGGAGATCTCTCTCATCTCTCCCTCTTACTCTCTGGAATACTACATTTCAAGTTAATTCATCATTTTTAAAAAGATGCCACTTTGAACTGTCACAACCCATAACAGAGTGTCTGAGTTTGAATCCTGCCTCCATTTTCAATCCAGTTTCTTACAACCTGTTGAGCAATGGTAATGGCGGGAGTAATTGGATCCCTGCCAGCATGCCAGATGCTTGGATTGAGTTCATGGCTACTAGTTTCGACATGACCTAACCACTGCTGTTGTGGACATATGGGGAAGTGAACCCGTGCAAGGGAGATATCTATCTATCTATCTATCTATGTCTCTCTTTTTCTCTCTCCCTCCCTCCCTCCCTTTCAAATAAATGAATATAGGTAAGTAAAAAAATTTTAAACCTGCATCAATGACCTATGGGATAATATCAGTTTTTTTTTTAATATAGGCTAATATTTCCTCCAAGTCTGAGGAAAGAAAAGGGAAGCAGAACAAAGAAAAAACAAATACTTACGTAAAATATAAGAAAGCAGGAATCACAATTGTGAAATATGACAAGGTAGAAACCAGAACAAAATATCTCAGAAAGGAAAAGGATGTTTAATGCAGATGACAAAAAAATCACAGCAGTGTCATAATAGTTACTGATATTTATATAACAATACAGCAGCAATAGTTTTAATTTTTTAATTTAATAAACTCACAGTTTATGCAAGGAATAGAAGAAAGAAACCTGGCAATAAAGGACTTTAAACCATCTTTTTCTTCCTTACATATCAAGTGGAGAAAAATGATAACAATGTAGCTGGAATAAACAGCATAATCGGTAAAATATATTTAATACATATTTAACCTCAAGATTCAGTTAATGATTTTTGAAGGGCAGATTTACAGGAGAAGGAGAGACAGAGACTTTATTCATTCAGCAGCTGATATGCATCTGGGTTGAATCCACGTCTTAGCTGCTGGGGTCTTGTTTCATACTTCTGTATACACAGAAGCAGTTTTCCCAGCACCATTAGTTGAAGAGTCTTTGCTTCCTCCCTGGATTAAATTCAGTTTACTTATCAAAAATTAGTTGACTGTACATGTGTGCATTTCTGAGATTTTTACTGTGTTCCACTGATCTTAGTCATTGGGATTTTTTTGTTTGTTTTGCTTTGTCTTGTTTTGTTTAGAGATTTGTGTATTTTACTTAAAAGTTGGATAGAGAGGGGCGAGGGAGAGGCAGAGAGACAGTGAGATCGTGCATCTGCTGATTCACTCCCCAGATGGTTGCGAAATGCCATAGGTTGGCTGTCTGAAGCTGGAAGCCAGCAGCTTGCCCTGGGGTCTCCCACGTGGGTGCTGGGCCCAAGGACCTGGGCCATACTCCATTGCTTTCCTAGGTCGTAGCCAAGGAGCTGGATCAGAAGTGGAGCCTGAACTGGCACCTATGAGGGATGCTGGGCCACAGACTGAAGATTACCGTACTATGCCACTGTGCCAGTCTCTCATAACTGTTTTTGTGCTGTTTTAATTACAACTTCCCCGCAGTAAATGTTGAATTCTGATATTGTGATGCCTCCAGCTTTGTTTTTATGGCTTAAATTTGCTCTAGCTGTTTTGGGGGTTCTTGTGTTTCCATATGAATTATAGCATCACTTTTTTCTAGATCCGAGAAGAATGTTATAGGTATTTTGATTATGTATTTTGCCATAGGTGTTTTGATTAAGATCACATTAGATTTGTGGATCGCTTTTGGTAATATGGACATTTTGATATTATTAATTTGGTCAATCCATGAACATGAATGATTTTTCCATGTTTCTGTGTCTTCTTCTGCTTCTTTATTTAATGTTTTGTGATTTTTATTGCAGAGATCACTCGTGTCTGTGGTTAAATTTATTTCAAGGTATCTTGTTTGTGAAAAGCACAGGGATCCTATTCAAAAATTTTAAAAGGGGCCAGTGCTGTGGTGTAGCCAGTAAAGCTTCTGCCTGCAAAGCCAGCATCCCATACAAATACTGGTTCAGATCCCAACTGCTCAACTTCCAATCCAGCTCCGTGATAATGGCCCGGAAAAGCAGTGGAGGATGACTGAAGTACCTGGGTCCCTGCACCCATGGGAGACCTGGAGAAAGCTCCTGGCTCCTGGCTTCTGCCTGGCTCCTGCCTGGCTCAGGCCTGGTCATTACGGCTTTTCAGGAGATAAATAATGGATGGAAGATTTATCTGTCCACCTCTTTCTCTGTAACTCTAACTTGCAAATAAATAAATATTTTCAAAGTATTTTTTTAAATTAAAGGAAGCAAATAAAAACAGAATTGACAAAGGGGGAGTAATTACTAAGATAGATAAATTTTTGAAATTTGTGTTTTGTTAAATTAAGAGATGTTAATATTGAAAGTGAGGGATTCATGATAAGGATCTATAATGTATGTGGTATGATTCAACGAAGCACTGTTTGTAACTGTAGATCAAATGATACGACATTCGCATTATTTTTAATTCTATCAATTTTAATTTGCACAAATGAGAGAAAGCATATGATATGTGTATGTCTTTTCGGGTCTGGCTTATTTTGGAGCTAGGCCCATTGGAAGACAGAAGCCTAGAACTTCTGAATGTCCCACATTAGTACTTCCCCATGCCATGAGCAGGAAGTAGTTGGATCAGAAGTGGCAGCTGGGACACAAACTGGTGCCTAATTGGGATGCTGATGCAGCATATAGAGGATTAGAATACTATGCCCCTGTGCAGGCCCTACTCTGTATCTTTTAGTTTGCCAATTTAGTCAACTTAAATTTAGGGTTACTATTGACTAGAGAAGGTTTGGACCTATAAATAAAAAGAAAAAATTTCCTGTTTATTTTTAATATGCATTGTTGTTTCTTATTTGTTGTTCACTCGCTTGGTTTGGACATTTATTGTAGTGGTAAGGTTTGAGTTTTGTTTATTTTTCTTTTGTGTGTCTGCTCATGGTTTTCTTTGATTTCTGAGTGTAGGCTTTCTTTAAGCTTTTTTTTTTAAAGGTTGTTTGATGATTATTAATTTGCTTAGATTTTGTTGGTTTGGGAAAGTCTTTATCTTCTTAAGTAAAGGATAGCTTTTCTGGGTACAACATTCTTGGCTGACAGGGTTTTGTTTTGTTTTGTTTTTAAAGCTTGAATATTTCATCACCATAATATATTATGGTGAGGACAATTTCTAATCATGTTTATTGGAGTCATATGTGTCTCCTATGCCTGAATGTTCATATAGTTATCAATACTAT